CCAATCAGACAAGGCTCACTTCATGCCCCTGCCAACCTGTGATTAGTCAGGGACATGCCAAGGGAAGCCAGAGGCGGCTGGCTTCCCTTGCCTCACAATCCAATCAAATCACATCAACTTAGTGTTGCAGTGACGCGTCATAAAACCCGGAAGTAAGCTGCGCTCGGTTTCCCTCATGGATTTATAAAGACAAATCGACAAAAAAGCAATGGGATTTCTCCATAGGATTTTGGAAAATAGCTCGAAATAAGGTCAGTGGAAAACGAACCTGTTAGATAAATGCACGTTTTGTTCAGTCGGATAATATCCACATGTCTACCCTACTTTTATAATTTTTAAATCATAAATGTAATCCATAGAAGATAGATAGCTTCACTGCACCACTCTCACCACCGTTAGAAAGTAGCAAGCAACTGAAACAAGTGCAATTATGGAGTGTGGAGATTTGGAGTATTTAATAAAAAATAATTGTACTAAACTTCTGCTACAGCAGCAACTAAAAATGAAATCTGATGACAGGCCAATGCCCAAACTGGAGCTGTGTACAGAGAGGAAAAAGAGCGAATCGGACGTAAAACTTTAAATAATAAACAGCGGATTTCTAACATTTGACATTTCATGTGGCCGGACTGGGTCAGTTTCCAGGGCTGAATTTTCTCTCTAAATCTCCTGATTTAGTTTGTGAATGAATGCTTATTAGAGTTTCGGCTGTAGAGTGCGTGTGGACCTGTCGGTCAGATAACAGGCGTGTGTAAGTCCTGCATCTGTATGATACAAATGTGTGTAAAATGATACCGGGTGCTGTAATCACTCATCTGGTTACGTTATTACATTGACCACCACACCCCCGACCCATAAGAAAGGACGTATTATTGGCTTCCCCTCATTTTTTCCCCACGCTACTGCTGTTGACAACAAATGCCCGTTTGTTGACTCCTCTATTATCTGTGTATGTTTCTCAGTGAGTTGAGTATAGAGAACTGGATCATGCCCATGGTGTATGCGGGCCATGTGTCCTGTGTGGCCTGGCTGCATCCATACTGGGCCCAGCAGATCACAGAGGGGGAGCACAGGATGGCTGTGGGAAGAGACTCCTCCACCACCACCATCAGGTAGGAATACACACACCCTCATTAAACTCCTATCAGCTGTGAAGTGTGTATCTTTAGTTAAAGCCCCCACACAGGTGCTTCCCTTGTGTTCCACACTGGGCTTGTTTGTCAGTTCCTCCACTCTCATGTTAGCTTGCACCTGTTAGGGCATCACACACTGCAATGAAAGCTGCTGTTGAATTTTCCCAAAAAAATCACGTCCAATATCTTTTTCTAAATCAGATTAATTAACCTCAGGGTTAGAGTAAAGGGTTAAAGAATGATGTGAAAGAGAATGTATGCAGACTTTGGAAAAGAGACGGTCTATACACTGGGCGATGTCATTATGACAACCCTAACCCACAACACTACCACAGTCGCCCACAAACAGAACATGTTCCATAGATGGAATACATGTAGATACTTTACCCCATGCATTCTTATCATGTTGTTTCAGCTGGGCTTGTATAAACGTGGACAACAGTGAAACATGTATATCTTCAGTACCAAGGTTTGAATTCAAATACAAAATGGCAATTGTTGCTTCCTGCTTCTATTCATATTAATTGAAAATGAATCTCAATTAGTGTGATTGTATGAAACTATTTGAATAAATAATACTTTATGCAATACATCTTCTACTGTGCATATTTTTCTTTAAAGTTGGAAACATATGAGCACTTTAGCAAGATTTATGTAATATGACGGAAAATACTTATAAAGCAGTGTTACTTAAATGATCTGCGTTTCTGGGTCATCATCGGTTGTTTCCGTGAACGTACGAATGGTGCGTCACTTTCTCCTCTCTTCTGTAAAGCAATGACCCAGTGTATCCTGAGCTAAAGGGGATACTGAAGGGGATACTGAAGGGGATACTAAAACTAAAGGGGATACTGAAGGGGATACTAAAACTGAAGGGGATACTAAAGGGGATACTGAAGGGGATACTAAAGGGAGTATTGAAGCTCCTCTCCTATCATTTAATGAATTTGAAAGCTCTCATCATGGCTGCCATTTCAGTTCTTACGGGTCATTTCACTCTGTTAGGAACCCTAATAGCAAAAAAAACGATTTGCCTGTAACAAATGTTTCTAGGAGCTTTAAGATCAGATGTTTCCCTTTGGTTTCTCATGAACGTCACTTCCTGTATCTGTTTCTCTCCTTGTTGTGCAGGGTGACCAGCACAGACGACTACTTCCTCAGTGACGGTTTGTATGTTTCTGAGAAGCTGCTGGAGAACCCCAAAGCTCTGAGGCTGAACGTGGTCAAAGTCAATCCTGTTAAACGGAGCCAAAGCTCACTGACGGGTGAGGTCTAACACTGAGTGCAACATTAGAAGATATCTAAACAGAAATGTGAGGTGCCTCATTGATATATTCATTTCTATAAGGATTGTGTATCTTGTGCATGCACAAGTATGAATTTACCGAGGATGTACCTGTTCCTGCTGCCAGTCTGAGGCCTAGAGTCCAACACCAGGGAGGTAGAGCGAACCAACAGCAGCGTTGCAAAGTTGCTACTTTTTTAGATTTGTTCGTCTGAAATGTTGGTCACTAATTCCAGAACTGAAGTGATTGACTCCTTTCAGAGCACAGCCACTTAATTGTAATTTGCCTCGCTTTGAAAGCACACTTTAAGGTTGATTGGGTGATTTCATTCTCTCCTCAGGGAATCCAGGCCTCGCTGTGAAATACACATGCTTGTAAATTACCTGGTTACTTCTAAGAATGGGAGTACACTAAATAATAGCATTTATTTTGCTCTAACTCAAAAAACACTTTTCCTTTATAGGATATTTAAATGCTTCATCAGTTTTCAGGGTTCTTCTCCTCTGTATAATGTTATTTGCGGTCGTACAAACATTGAAAAAAAGATTGTTGCCTGAAATCTTAAGCCTTAACCGGATTTATTCAAGACTTATCAGTCATCATTCAACAATGTTAATATATGAGTGATTGTTTCCCTTTCTTTTAATCAAATGTTTTTAACACATGTGTTATTTACTAGTTTCTTTATTTCCTTCTCTATATCCAATGATTTTTTAGATCATATTGAAGATTTTCTCTTCTTTTACTGATAGGACATATTTCCATTTGACCCTGTTTTTGATTTGTTCTTGTGACATTCCAGAAGTGCAGAGTGCAGAGGACATAGACAGAGGTTGTGTTAAGAGAGGCCGAACAGAGTGCAGGGCTGAAGGGTCCAGCTGCTCGGAGCCCCCCCTCACATGTACTGACCCGCTGCGACCTGCAGAGGGCAGCAGCAGGTCGAGCTCCAATGAAGACGATGAGGAAGGATCCACCAGTTATGTTGTGAAGATAATATCTTCATTTCTAAGTGAGACAGAGCCGTATATCCTGGACATTGATTTGGATTTCTTCTCATGTAAGAATCCCTTCAAGGAGTTATACACAGAGGTACACATCCCACCTGATCTCTCTCACTGCTCTATAGAGGTACATCCCACCTGATCTCTCTCACTGCTCTATAGAGGTACATCCCACCTGATCTCTCTCACTGCTCTATAGAGGTACATCCCACCTGATCTCTCTCACTGCTCTATACACAGAGGTACATCCCACCTGATCTCTCTCACTGCTCTATACACAGAGGTACATCCCACCTGATCTCTCTCACTGCTCTATACACAGAGGTACATCCCACCTGATCTCTCTCACTGCTCTATAGAGGTACATCCCACCTGATCTCTCTCACTGCTCTATAGAGGTACATCCCACCTGATCTCTCTCACTGCTCTATAGAGGTACATCCCACCTGATCTCTCTCACTGCTCTATAGAGGTACATCCCACCTGATCTCTCTCACTGCTCTATACACAGGCTCTATAGAGGTACATCCCACCTGATCTCTCTCACTGCTCTATACACAGAGGTACATCCCACCTGATCTCTCTCACTGCTCTATACACAGAGGTACATCCCACCTGATCT